TTTCCTCCCTTTCTCGCTCTCGTTCTTCTCTCTCTCGTCTCTCTTCTTTTCTCGTTCTTCTCTCTCTTTCTCTCTTCTCTCTCTCGTCTCTTCTCTTCTTTCTTCTCTTTCTAATTTCTTTCTTCTCATCGCCAATTCTTTTTCTTTCATCTCCATTTCTTTATCTTTTAATTCTCGTTCCATTTCTAATTTCTTCCATTCTATTTCACGATTGATCTCTAGGGCACGCATTTTGACTGTTAGGAAGCTGATATTAAGCTCACCTGCATCACTGTCAACGTCGCTGCCCTTATCTTCCTTTTCTGTGGAAGCTATTTCCTCACCTTCCCTTGTACTAGGAGTCTCGCCTTCCTGTTTCTCTTCTGCCTTCAGGTGCCGGTGAACCTTGGACAAGATCTCCACACGGGAATCACTGGCACGGATCTTGATCTCCAGGTAGGCGCTCACTAGTACAAGTTCCGGTTTGCTCAGATACTTTAATCTGGCAAGACAGTCCACTCTGTTCAGAAAAGCCTGAACATCGTCCAGATCATCGATGGTAGCTTTGTCTGCCATTGTCACAGATGGAACACTTAGCACTTAACACACCGTTTACACGTTAGCACTTAACGCACCGAGCACTGTTCTACGCCAATATTGCACTTTATCGCACCAAACACTGCACTTGCCAATATTGCACGTAATCACTTCGGGCACCACACTACCCAATATTGCACTGAATCCAAGCGAACACTTCGCTCTACAATATTGCACTAAATCACTGAGCACCACACTAGTCAATATTGCACTTAATCGCTTAATCACAGCGAGCACCACACTGCACAATATCGCACTTAGTCACTCTGAGCACCGCACAGGACGTATAACGTCACAATCGTCACACAGGGGGAATTATTTACAGGGATTACGCCACTTCACCACCCCTGTCAAACATACTTAACAAGGGGACGGATCCCGCTGGGGATGCCAATTATGTTACGGCCCTCTCGGGACGCAACGGGGTTCTTACTCTGATGTTGTTAGAGGAAGATATATGTATCCGTTCCCAAGCCAGTAGTGGCTATCAAGGGATGAGATCCGTGACGCAAGTAACTTAAAGGGAGTATGGAAAGATAGTTAAGAACTTAATATTATAATTAACACCATCACCATTTATAATATATAGAAATAAAACGTACACAAGGGGATTATTCACTGTAGTCTTCTGCTGAAGACTCTGGTGCCACACCACTTTCGGTGCCGATTCCTTGGTGCTCTCTTCGTGGCCTTAAGACGTGTCCTCTGAGAACGCCGAGTCTACCCTGGCCACAGGTCAGCCACAACACAGGTCCACTGGGGGCACCGTCGTGGAGGCCGTCAACCACACGTCCAGCAGGTCTGCTGGCAGGTACTGAGCCAACAAGGCTGGTACGGCCACTCCACGAACGATAAAAGGGGTACGCCCTAGACAGGAGTCTCGTGTGATATCACCAATCACCCTCCTGTCCTCAATACCCCAGTGGATTATCGTCTCCAACCGTCGGTCCCGGGTAAATCCTTCCACTGCCACTCCACTGGCAGGCTTAACACACCACAGTGTTCTTCCGGGGGGACGACGTCACAACAGCTGCAGCAAACTTCACAGTATGGAGACTGGCTGCCTCGGGTAGACTGACTACACCTTCAACACAGTGGTCCCAGGTCGGCTCTGTAAGCAGACACGTCATTAATAACCGGGACACTAATACACCACACTCACAGGCTCAGATACAAACGCCCGACATATCCATTCCATAGATGGCGCTGTCTTCGGAGCACCACCTCACCAGAGGTCAGGAGCGGCGGCGTTGAGCGCTGAACCAGACTGGAAACTGGTCCTCGAGGCCAGTACACGCTGTCCTCACTAGGTGTCGTCGTTCGTTTGGCGGGGGTTTCGGGAGCTGACCCACAGATGGCGTGTTTGTCACTGCTCCAGGCTCGGACGCTGGATCCGGGTTCGTAACAGGTGCTTCCGGGGCTTAGCGTCCCCGCGGCCCGGTCGTCGACCAGGCCTCCTGGTTGCCGGACTGATCAACCAGGTTGTTGGACGCGGCTGCTCGCAGCCTGACGTATTGCCTAACAAGGCAATTTTATGCGCTGTCTCACACGAAACTCGTGTTCAGAATAATATTCACATTAGTGAAATTAGGCCGACTCAGGATGCTCCTCCACCCTCCCCCACACACTAGAAATTGAAGAGACGACGACGTTTCGGTCCGCCCTAGACCATTGTCAAGTCGATAGTGATAATGGTCCGGGAAGGACCGAAACGTCGTCGTCTCTTCAGGTCAACATTTTTCAGCCAGGTTATTGTGACTCCTCGCCTACACATGGATGTATATTGACATCCACAGGTCGCAAGGTAAACCTGCGGATAAAGTTCAAGGTAAAGCAAGGTAAAGTTCACACTTCTATGAACTGTTAGGTGACATAGGCCGCAAACTCCAGTCTTATTGCTCCTGGAGGAACCTGTCACGTGTGTACTGACCGAGTGGCCGGTGGCTGAGCGGACAGAACACTGGTCGCGTGATCCTGTGGTCCTGGGTTCGATCAGGGCGCCGGCGAGACACAATGGGCAGAGTTTCTTTCACCAGACAGCAGTGGTAGTTAGTCAGCTGTCACGGGCTGATTCCTAAGGGTGGAGGCCTGGTCGAGGACCGGGCCGCGGGGACAACAAGCCCCGAAATCATCTCAAAATAACCTCAAGATAACCATGGGAGGCGTTATTAACTAATTATGCAAATCATATAGCCTAACGAGCTTTCCCAAATTGGTTTAAAAATCATTAGAACACCAATTAGGCATCATTGCCAAACACCTTCTCCTCTCCTGGGCTTATTGCCACAATGGGTTTCTCACCGGTGCCCGGGATCGAACGAGGGGCCTCGTAGCCTGGTGGATAGCGCGCAGGACTCGTAATTCTGTGGCGCGGGTTCGATTACCGCACGAGGCAGAAACAAATGGGCAAAGTTTCTTTCACCCTGAATGCCCCTGTTACCTAGCAGTAAATAGGTACCTGGGAGTTAATCAGCTGTCACGGGCTGCTTCCTGGGGGTGGAGGCCTGGTCGAGGACCGGGCCGCGGGGACAACAAGCCCCGAAATCATCTCAAAATAACCTCAAGATAACCTCAAGAACCCGGGACCACAGGATCACGCGTCCAGTGTTCTGTCCTCTCAGCCACGGGCTCCCCGGGTACTTATACCTGCATATCTGTCAAGAATCTGTGTTTATAATCCGCTTGCTAGCCTTGTGGTCCCTAATGCGAAAGCCAGGTAGCAAGCTGTCGACCAATTACACAAGCACTAATTACTACGAAGGACTTTGAATAACATTAGCTGTAAACAAACGCATAATTCTCATCCCAGGCTCCTGGTAATGCCGTCCTGTAGAATTCCTGACATTATTTTGGTGTACTAGTTTTACATGGAAAATCTTTCTTCGGCTAAACGAGACTACAGCAATCCGAGGCGGGAACTGGATTTGGAAAAACAGTGCTAGCATGATATGTATATTTGTTACAGTTAGCGCGAGGCTTCTCTCTCACCTGGGTCACTCAGGACAGCTGCCCCTCTCTCACCTGGGTCACTCAGGACAACTGCCCCTCTCTCACATGGGTCACTCAGGACAGCTGCCCCTCTCTCACCTGGGTCACTCAGGACAGCTGCCCCTCTCTCACCTGGGTCACTCAGGACAGCTGCCCCTCTCTCACCTGGGTCACTCAGGACAACTGCCCCTCTCACCTGGGTCACTCAGGACAGCTGCCCCTCTCTCACCTGGGTCACTCAGGACAACTGCCCCTCTCTCACCTGGGTCACTCAGGACAGCTGCCCCTCTCTCACCTGGGTCACTCAGGACAACTGCCCCTCTCTCACCTGGGTCACTCAGGACAGCTGCCCCGATCTCACCTGGGTCACTCAGGACAACTGCCCCTCTCACCTGGGTCACTCAGGACAGCTGCCCCTCTCTCACCTGGGTCACTCAGGACAACTGCCCCTCTCTCACCTGGGTCACTCAGGACAGCTGCCCCTCTCTCACCTGGGTCACTCAGGACAGCTGCCCCTCTCTCACATGGGTCACTCAGGACAGCTGCCCCTCTCTCACCTGGGTCACTCAGGACAACTGCCCCTCTCTCACCTGGGTCACTCAGGACAGCTGCCCCTCTCTCACCTGGGTCACTCAGGACAACTGCCCCTCTCTCACCTGGGTCACTCAGGACAGCTGCCCCTCTCTCACCTGGGTCACTCAGGACAACTGCCCCTCTCACCTGGGTCACTCAGGACAGCTGCCCCTCTCTCACCTGGGTCACTCAGGACAACTGCCCCTCTCTCACCTGGGTCACTCAGGACAGCTGCCCCTCTCTCACCTGGGTCACTCAGGACAACTGCCCCTCTCACCTGGGTCACTCAGGACAGCTGCCCCTCTCTCACCTGGGTCACTCAGGACAACTGCCCCTCTCTCACCTGGGTCACTCAGGACAACTGCCCCTCTCTCACCTGGGTCACTCAGGACAGCTGCCCCTCTCTCACCTGGGTCACTCAGGACAACTGCCCCTCTCTCACCTGGGTCACTCAGGACAGCTGCCCCTCTCTCACCTGGGTCACTCAGGACAACTGCCCCTCTCTCACCTGCGTCACTCAGGACAGCTGCCCCTCTCTCACCTGGGTCACTCAGGACAACTGCCCCTCTCACCTGGGTCACTCAGGACAGCTGCCCCTCTCTCACCTGGGTCACTCAGGACAACTGCCCCTCTCTCACCTGGGTCACTCAGGACAACTGCCCCTCTCTCACCTGGGTCACTCAGGACAACTGCCCTTCCTGATGGTTCTGGTTAGGTACAATTACAGTTGACAGGGGTAAGACTGATGACTGTTTGTTATGTCTTGGGCAACAGGCTGCCGGAGAAATCGTCTGGACTGGCATGTACACGGCCTTAAAGTAGCAGGAGACATTCAGACAGGCGCTAATCTGTTGTGGACAATGTCACTCTGCTGTGTCTTGGCTGTGTCTTGGCTGTGTCTTGACTGTGTCTTGGATGTGTCCTGGCTGTGTCTTGGCTGTGTCTTGACTGTGTCTTGGCTGTGTCTTGGCTGTGTCTTGACTGTGTCTTGGATGTGTCCTGGCTGTGTCTTGGCTGTGTCTTGACTGTGTCTTGGCTGTGTCTTGACTGTGTCTTGGATGTGTCCTGGCTGTGTCTTGGCTGTGTCCTGCCTGTGTCTTGGCTGTGTCTTGACTGTGTCTTGGCTGTGTCTTGGCTGTGTCTTGGCTGTGTCCTGGCTGTGGCTTGGCTGTGTCTTGGCTCTGTCCTGACTGTGTCTTGGCTGTGTCTTGACTGTGTCTTGGCTGTGTCTTGACTGTGTCTTGGCTGTGTCTTGGCTGTGTCTTGACTGTGTCTTGGCTGTGTCCTGACTGTGTCTTGGCTGTGTCTTGGCTGTGTCTTGGCTGTGTCCTGCCTGTTTCTTAGCTGTGTCTGCTGTGTCCTGCCTGTGTCTTGGCTGTGTCCCGCTAACCACCCCCAACCCCTCCCCCTTCCCAATACCACCCCACCAACCACAGCCTCATCTTAATAACATCCCCCACAATCACATGTTACCTGAACGAGACCATTTTCCTAAGTAATAAAAGAGGAGTCTTAGGTGTTAATATACACGTATGCGACCACACCACGCAAGAGATCTAACCACAAGTGCACTCTGCATGTAAATGTGTTCAAGTGGACACAAGGAATAAACAATTAAGGTATTGCCCTCCAGTTGCACTTACACGCTGGCTTACCAAACCACTGGAACGGGTTCCATGCCGGTGATGCGTGTTCTAGTTTTGGACTCACGTTGGCTACATGCAACCCGTTCTCGCACTTGCTTACTGTCAATATTGGCTTATTTAATAAGTGCATATGTGACATACTAATTGATTGTGAATATTTTAGTTTACCTTGAAAAGCTTCATAGAAAACACCGACCTCACCTAACCTTCTTAGTATGTTAAGATAAGCATCTTATTGCTTCTTAATTACAATTATTACTTAACCTATACCGTTGATAGGTTATCTAGAGTTATCTAGAGATGATTTCGGGGCTTTTTTTTAGTGTCCCCGCGGCCCGGTCTTCGACCAGGCCTCCACCCCCAGGAAGCAGCCCGTGACAGCTGACTAACACCCAGGTATCTATTTTACTGCTAGGTAACAGGGACATAGGGTGAAAGAAACTCTGCCCATTGTTTCTCGCCGGCGCCTGGGATCGAACCCAGGACCACAGGATCACAAGTCCAGTGTGCTGTCCGCTCGGCCGACCGGCTCCCTAGTTAAGTAATAATTTAAATAAGAAGCAATAAGATGCTTATCTTAACATACTAAGAAGGTTAGGTGAGGTCGGTGTTTTCTATCAAGCTTTTCAAGGTAAACTAAAATATTCACAATCAATTAGTATGTCACATATGCACTTATTAAATAAGCCAATATTGACTATACGCAAGTGCGAGAACGGGTTGTTACATACATGTTAATGTAGATTGTTCTGAAAGAATGATTAATTGATGGAGTTTTAAAGTAATGTTGTTTTAATGTTTGCCAGTTTGTCATATGTTGTCAATGTTTATGTGTACCTCTGGTGGTAGTGTTTTTATTATATACACTCCCTAAGCCTTCTCTTTCCCCTTCCCTACAGTTGCTTTTCCCTTATGGTGTAGATTCCTTCTAGTTACCTATCTCCAGGTACCATCGTTACCTTACACTTGCTGGAGTTGAATTTGATTAACCACTTGTCTGCTAGTTCACACAATACGACAAGCGTTAAGTGTGAGGTGGTTTAGCCTAACTAGAAGCGTATGAACCCATGAGCGTCGCACCTTAGCTATCGAAACATGACCAGGAGAAACCGTTGATATTACGATGTTCTTAATGTGCATAAACACAGTAATTAATGACGTGAAGGAAGATGGTATAAAAACTGTGGCGTATGAGGCGTGAGGACACGCTGGCTTGGGGGTGTTGTGAGTGGGTGATGGAGGCACTCAGGAGAGGCAGGGGCAGGGAGGGACTCAGGAGAGGCAGGGGCCTGGAGGGACTCAGGAGAGGCAGGAGCAGGGAGGGACTCAGGGGGAGAGAGAGAGAGAGGGAGTGTATGAGGGACTCAGAGGGACACAGGGCAATGAGGGATGGAGTAACTCAAGGGGATGGAGTGATGCAGGGGAAGGAGGGAGGGAGGGCAGCCCCCAACGCACCATAATGGGTGTTGATACACTGGTCTTGCAAGAGGCAGGTTCAACAGCGTTAAGAGCCCTCAAGGTGAAGAGGTTCCCCCTTGTACCAGCACGCACACTCCACCACTTTGTGTACTGACGTGTGATCACGGGAGAGCCAGATCTGGCTCTTGGCCTCAACCTCATAACTATTTATGCCTAGTGCAGTCATACTTCCCAAAGTTCCAATACTCACATTTGCTCTAAATGCAGTGGATGGAGGTGGCTTCCACCACCTCTGCTTCCCAATCACTACACTTGCTGTTTATAACAATAACCATATTGGAGTGTGAGGTTCGAGGCTGTCCTCAGGCCACGGTCCTTAAAGCCACGGTCCGGCCCCAAGACGCAGTCCTCAATTAAAGTTTTCCTAATATATAAATTAATATTAATATATATCTTAGTTTTATGTATAAATATATTAGGTTGGGTTAAGCGTTCAGGTTATGTTATCTTGAGGTTATCTTGAAATGACTTCGGGGCTTAGCGTCCCCGCGGTCCGGTCCTCGACCAGGCCTCCTTTTTGTTACACCCCCTCCGGGAAGCAGCCCGTAGCTGCTGTCTAACTCCCGGGTACCTATTTACTGCTAAGTGAACAGGCACATTAGGGGTGAAAGAAACATTTTGCCCATTTGTCTCTGCCTTCACCGGGGATCGAACCCGGGACCTCAAGGACTACGAATCAGAAGCGCTGTCCACCCAGCTGTCAGGTGCCCTGACAATAATGTTACCAATTATTTCCATTTGAAGTACGTGGATAAAGGATTCGAACGATTCGAACAGTACTTCGTCGGCGAAGTACTGTTCGAAAATAGCTAGGTTGTTGATGTTGTTTTTGTTTTAGATTGACCTACTCAGAACATAAAGTTCCAAGTAGCACAGGCTATGGTGAGCCCGTAAGTGTTGGCTCTTTGGAGTCCTTATTTGTATCAATGGCCGATACTAGAGGTCTGGGGATGGGTGTGAGTCTTCAGCCCTGGAGGACTAGTTTATTGGGCAGCGCCACTCATCCTGTGAGTGGACACACCGCCATAGTGACAGTATTGGGCAGCGCCACTCATCCTGTGAGTGGACACACCGCCATAGTGACAGTATTGGGCAGCGCCACTCATCCTGTGAGTGAACACACCGCCATAGTGACAGTATTGGACAGCGCCACTCATCCTGTGAGTGAACACACCGCCATAGTGACAGTATTGGACAGCGCCACTCATCCTGTGAGTGGACACACCGCCATAGTGACAGTATTGGACAGCGTCACTCATCCTGTGAGTGGGCACACCGCCATAGTGACAGTATTGGACAGCGTCACTCATCCTGTGAGTGGGCACACCGCCATAGTGACAGTATTGGACAGCGTCACTCATCCTGTGAGTGGGCACACCGCCATAGTGACAGTATTGGACAGCGTCACTCATCCTGTGAGTGGGCACACCGCCATGTGAGTGGGCAGCGTAACTCATCCTGTGAGTGGGCCGCCATAGTGACAGTATTGGACAGCGCCACTCATCCTGTGAGTGGACACACCGCCATAGTGACAGTATTGGACAGCGCCACTCATCCTGTGAGTGGACACACCACCATAGTGACAGTATTGGGCAGCATCACTCATCCTGTGAGTGAACACACCGCCATAGTGACAGTATTGGACAGCGTCACCCATCCTGTGAGTGAACACACCGCCATAGTGACAGTATTGGGCAGCGCCACTCATCCTGTGAGTGGACACACCGCCATAGTGACAGTATTGGACAGCGTCACCCATCCTGTGAGTGAACACACCGCCATAGTGACAGTATTGGACAGCGTCACTCATCCTGTGAGTGAACACACCGCCATAGTGACAGTATTGGGCAGCGCCACTCATCCTGTGAGTGGACACACCGCCATAGTGACAGTATTGGACAGCGTCACCCATCCTGTGAGTGAACACACCACCATAGTGACAGTATTGGGCAGCATCACTCATGCTGTGAGTGAACACACCGCCATAGTGACAGTATTGGACAGCGTCACCCATCCTGTGAGTGAACACACCGCCATAGTGACAGTATTGGACAGCGCCACTCATCCTGTGAGTGGACACACCGCCATAGTGACAGTATTGGGCAGCGCCACTCATCCTGTGAGTGGACACACCGCCATAGTGACAGTATTGGGCAGCGCCACTCATCCTGTGAGTGAACACACCGCCATAGTGACAGTATTGGACAGCGCCACACATCCTGTGAGTGGACACACCGCCATAGTGACAGTATTGGACAGCATCACTCATCCTGTGAGTGGACACACCGCCATAGTGACAGTATTGGACAGCGCCACTCATCCTGTGAGTGGACACACCGCCATAGCAGCATGCACAACACGCCTCAAACAGGAAGCAAACCCGCTGGGTTGTTCATCCTGTCACATGTGTTGGAGGACGGCCACAGCTGAGCCAAACAGATCTCGAATATTCACTTGTCAAAATAAATAACTGATAACTTCATAAATTGATAGCTTCCTTGTGCCAAACCGGTGCCGTTCACACGTGACATCGTCAGCTGTGCCACTCACATTACAAAGGACAGTGGCGAGAATAGATGCGCGTAGAGCGTGGCGCGCAGACCGTGACGCGCAGGGTAGAGGTTAAGTGGGGGAGCCAAGGGAAAGTGGGCCACATGAGGACCGCTGCAGACAGCAGGAAGCGTTGTAACCGTAATACTTTATTAACATCTCAAAATATAATAAAGGAAAAATTAACAAACATACATTTATACATAGGAATATATATATATATATATATATATATATATATATATAATATATATATATATATATATATATATATATATATATATATATATATATATATCATCACATATATATATATGTGATGATACATATCAGAGGATATAATCGTCAGTTGTATCCTCTGATTTTTGTCTGTAGGGATAACGTTTCTATTAACAATATCTTTCAGGACCCTTTCCTCCGTTTTATGAGGGTCCGTTTCAGGGTCCTGAAAGATATTGTTAATAGAAACGTTATCCCTACAGACAAAAATCAGAGGATACAACTGACGATTTACTATAAAACCAGAAAAACGGCCAGCCTACTCATGAGAAACTCTCCAGACACAAAGCAGAACGCTTTAAAAGAGACCAACGTCGTCTATGCTTTCAAATGCCCTCTTGGGGATTGTAAGCTCCAAAAAAAACAGTATATAGGCAAGACAACAACATCTCTTTCTAGGCGTTTAACGATGCATAAGCAACAGGGCTCCATTAAGGAACATATAATCTCTTCCCACAACCAAACCATCGCCAGAGAAATCCTAGTAAACAACACAGAAATCATCGATAGATACAGCGATAGCAGACGGCTTGACGTTTGCGAGGCACTACACATTAAAAAGTCAACACCAGCAATCAACAGCCAATTAATGCACAACTATATTCTACCCACCTCAAGACTCCGCTCCAATATAGAAGCATCAAGAAATATGGACCAATAGGCTTTCTACAATCACTTCCATTCAATACCCATTGTTTCGTGTTCTGTCTTGTGTTGATGAATTTAATACCCTATTAAAACCACCTCACCCCATCCACCTCACTCAAATGTAGATATAAACAAATCGGAGATGTGTCAGTTCTATTCAGTTGTGTATGTGTAAACTAAAGTCTTTGAAAATGTAATAAGTTTTACGAAACGCGCTCAAGTGTCGCGTCAGACTAGAAATAAAAATGAATTTTGGAGAATTGATTTTTGAATTACCACCAACAGTGAAAAGAAATGTATGAAAGATTGAGAAAATTCGTGTTAGAATTATTAATCTTACTTTTTCGGTCATATTTAATAATATATGTCTACAGGAAAGACTGCTACCAAAATATACTAATATATATATATATATATATATATATATATATATATATATATATATATATATATATATATATATATATATATATATATATATATATATATATATATAAGGGTTGGGGATGAGACAGCAACATATTGGAGTGGGTGAGGGATGGACAACAAACACACGCACATAAAACTCGTACACTCATTAAATAATTTATATTACCTCATAATCTGTATATGTACTTAAATAACTCTACCACCAGTTTATTTATAGGCGTGTATAACCCAGTTCCGTCCAGGCACAACATTGACTCTTACAGAGCCACAAGGAGGCTTTTGGTGTGGATTTTAGATGCAGCTACTGGGAGCAACAGTTGCCAGTAGCACGGGCTATGGCGAGCCCGTAGTGGACTTACCTGGCACAGGAGCGGGGCAAGTAGCACGGGCTATGGTGAGCCCGTAGTGAAAAAAGAGGCGCTTTACAACGACATCATCAAGCTAACTAGACACTCTTTTCCCTTGACACCCCGTAAACAAATCCAGCCTCTTAACCTCACTAGAAACGTAACAACCCAAGCAACCCACCTAACCTATCGAGTCCAATTCATAGAAAACGTATATATATTAGTGAGCCGTAACTTAGTAGGTTGCATTTGTAACGTTGGTTAAAAAATAAATGCGACCTATTAGCTAAGAGTCCTCTTGAACGACTCTCATTTTGACCTATAATCCCCTAAGGTCAAAACTGCTGAACTATACATCAAAGTGACTCGCAAAATTTACGTGTTGTCCCGTTTTCTATTCGTGGCGTCCTCGGTTAGGTTCGGGCAATGTAGCACATCAGTTAAGTGACGTTGGGGGAGCGCTCGAGAGGACGGGCTGGCCGAGTGGCTGGTGGCAAGTGCACACACCTGCTTGACACACACGCGACAGGTGTGTGTACTCCCATTGTGGTGAGGGCAACACCCGCCTGACACACACGCGACAGGTGTGTCCTCCCACGGAGAAATACCTGCCCAAGAGGGCAGTAGGTTGTTGCTGTTTTAGCTACTCAGAACGAAGTGTCCATGTAGCACGGGCTATGGTGAGCCCGTAAAAATGTGGGAAGTAGGGCATCATGATGCACCAATAGACAAAGCTAGGTGCTTGGTGAGGCGCGGGGGTGAAGACTTGGTGGGTGGATACAATGTAGGTCTGTGATAGGAAGAGATAGACCATGATAATATCTGTATACGGATTGGTAAAAGATAAGAGAAAGAGGGACAAAGATATGAGGGAGCCAGAGGAAGCAGCAGCACCCCTCACAATCCCCAGATTAACGAAGACAATACTTACAATACCAGCTAGATGGTCTAACACCTGAAGCAGACTAGGGCAAGAAGGGCCAAGCAGCTCGGCCAAGCAGAGCCAAGCAGGGCCAAGCAGCAGGGCCAAGCAGGGCCAAGCAGGGCCAAGCAGCAGGGCCAAGCACGGCCAAGCGGCAGGGCCAAGCGGGGCCAAGCGGGGCCAAGCAGCAGGGCCAAGCGGGGCCAAGCAGGGCCAAGCTTGGCCCTAATACAATTATTAATAAATTAGTATTATTCAGTTCACTTCAGGATCACTTCAGTGAAATATTTAATTCAGTAACATTTTGAATGTAATATATGATATGTGATAGGGGAATGGGGAGGAAATGGACGTAAGGGGGAATGGGGAAAAGAATGAATAAAAGGAAGGGAAAGGGATGAATGGGGGAGATAAAGGGTAAAAGCAAATAGAAGGAGTTGTAGGGAGTTGTAGACGGGAAGGGCAGTAGTCCTGCTATCATCCATCATGTTATAGACTTAATGGGGTTTTACTTTCAAACTTGTTATCTCGACATTATGGTAATATCATAATCAATCTATTCAGTGAATAATATTCACTATGTGCCATCCACTCGTGGATTATATTATGTTTAGAAAGTGAAGGGACGACGACGTTTCGACTTGAGAATGGTCCAGGACGGACCGAAACGTCGTCGTCCCTTCACCTTCTAGTGTGTGGTTTGGTCAACATACTTCAGCCACGTTATTGTGACTCCTCGTCTGGACAGAAATCCGAGATCAGACGTTTTCGTTCATGTTTTTCGAAACCTGATCGAGAGTCACAGACCAGTACTCCACACAGCCACAGGTGAGAATCACAGACCAGTGCCCCACACAGCCACAGGTGAGAATCACAGACCAGTGCCCCACACAGCCACAGGTGAGAATCACAGACCAGTGCCCCACACAGCCACAGGTGAGAGTCACAGACCAGTGTTCCACACAGCCACAGGTGAGAGTCACAGACCAGTACTCCACACAGCCACAGGTGAGAATCACAGACCAGTGCTCCACACAGCCACAGGTGAGAATCACAGACCAGTGCTCCACACAGCCACAGGTGAGAGTCACAGACCAGTACTCCACACAGCCACAGGTGAGAATCACAGACCAGTGCTCCACACAGCCACAGGTGAGAATCACAGACCAGTGCTCCACACAGCCACAGGTGAGAGTCACAGACCAGTGCTCCACACAGCCACAGGTGAGAGTCACAGACCAGTGCTCCACACAGCCACAGGTGAGTCACAGACCAGTGCTCCACACAGCCACAGGTGAGAGTCACAGACCAGTGCTCCACACAGCCACAGGTGAGTCACAGACCAGTGCTCCACACAGCCACAGGTGAGAATCACAGACCAGTGCTCCACACAGCCACAGGTGAGTCACAGACCAGTGCTCCACACAGCCACAGGTGAGAATCACAGACCAGTGCTCCACACAGCCACAGGTGAGTCACAGACCAGTGCTCCACACAGCCACAGGTGAGAATCACAGACCAGTGCTCCACACAGCCACAGGTGAGAATCACAGACCAGTGCTCCACACAGCCACAGGTGAGAATCTCAACGATGCACTCACTGCAGCTGGACTAAGATTCTCACTGTGAGATGTGAGTCTGTGGCCAGCCTCACAACTTTTCCCCCAATAAACGCCTAATTTGTCCAGTTCTCTTACCATGAGGAAATACATCATCACCTGCATTTATACTTGGTACAATATATTTATAGTCCGTCAAATATAAATGCCAGTGATGCACAATTCCACATTTACCTGAATATACCTCACTGCTTGCCAAGCTTTACCTTATTTTTACTGATGCTTTCTACCTGTATTTTATTAATTCTGGGGACTGTTGTTGCTTAGACGCTGTCCAGTGAAGAAGGTACACTATACAGTGTACCTGCTACACTGGACACTGTACCTGGTACACTGTACAGTGTACCTGTACCGGTACACTGTCCAGTGTAGCAGGTACACTGTACAGTGTACCTGCTACATACAGTGTCTCACGGACGAGTTACTGATTGCCAGAATAATGTCTTGTTCTGCACAGTTGCTTATTTTTTTTCTTTATTAAATAAAACACAATATAAAGATCATATTTACATCAGTTTACATGGGGGAAATTACTACATTTACATATAATTTATATAATTATCAGTAAACCAATTTTTTTCATATCATTTAGGGGTTCACGGTTGCTGAAGTGGCACACTTAAGTAATAGTGTTTCACATTTATTTATTTATTTATATATATACAAGAAGGTACATTGGGATTGTGAGGATACATAGCATAGTAATTACATTCTTGTAAAGCCACTAGTACGCGCAGCGTACATGTGGCTTTACATGTGACACATTAGGCATATTGGATAAGCTGTTGAGGCTTTAGATCTTGTTTACTGTTTACGTGAGCTAACTCAGCCACGGATTAACCATTAGGCAATGTAAATACGTGCTTAGGGCACTAAGGGTACCAGAGAGTACCGGTACTCCATATTCATAGAAGAAACCTTAGCTGCATATTCTAAGAGTGGCAGTTATATTATTTTTATTTTATTGTATTGTAACTAATCAACCAGTTTTATGCTGTGTCCCACGATGTCGTGTGACATCTAAGATCATTTTCTAAGATGATCTTAGATGTCGTCTGGCATCTAAGATCAATGAATTGACATAAATGTCAATTCATTGTCTCAACATATATCTAAAATTCAGTATGTTTGAGCCTTACTTGTAAAGACATTCAAAAGATACTTACTTGTTGCTTATTGATTTCATATAAAAAGTATGTAAAAATCTTTCTTTGGTACTAGATGGGAGACTCATGCTATGGCAATAGCAGCTATTCTGAAGACTTTCTTTAAGATTTTGGAAACTTTTATAATATCTAGCTGAAGACCAGTCAGGAAAGGGTGACACATTAGAATGTTTTGACAACGCTCATATACAACAATATGCTCATATACAACAAATATGCTCATATACAACAATATGCTCATATACAACAAATATGCTCATATGCAACAAATATGCTCATATACAACAAATATGCTCATATGCAACAAATATGCTCATATACAACAAATATGCTCATATACAACAAATATGCTCATATGCAACAAATATGCTCATATACAACAAATATGCTCATATACAACAAATATGCTCATATACAACAAATATGCTCATATACAACAAATATGCTCATATACAACAAATATGCTCATATACAACAAATATGCTCATATACAACAAATATGCTCATATACAACAAATATGCTCATATACAACAATATGCTCATATACAACAAATATGCTCATATACAACAAATATGCTCATATACAACAAATATGCTCATATACAACAAATATGCTCATATACAACAAATATGCTCATATACAACAAATATGCTCATATACAACAATATGCTCATATACAACAAATATGCTCATATACAACAATATGCTCATATACAACAAATATGCTCATATACAACAAATATGCTCATATACAACAAATATGCTCATATACAACAAATATGCTCATATACAACAAATATGCTCATATACAACAATATGCTCATATACAACAAATATGCTCATATACAACAAATATGCTCATATACAACAAATATGCTCATATACAACAATATGCTCATATACAACAAATATGCTCATATACAACAATATGCTCATATACAACAAATATGCTCATATACAACAATATGCTCATATACAACAAATATGCTCATATACAACAATATGCTCATATACAACAAATATGCTCATATACAACAATATGCTCATATACAACAATATGCTCATATGCAACAATATGCTCATATACAACAAATATGCTCATATACAACAAATATGCTCATATACAACAATATGCTCATATACAACAATATGCTCATATACAACAAATATGCTCATATACAACAATATGCTCATATACAACAATATGCTCATATACAACAAATATGCTCATATACAACATAATATACAACAATGCTCATATTGATACAACAAATCAAACATTCCAACTTTACTACAAAATAAAGAGGGGAACTTACAACATGGGCAGATCTGAACGAATCATTAGCTGATCAATTATTCTCTTGAATAGAGAACTTTGAAAGATTTTAAGCACTTGCAAAGGAAATATTACCAGATGTTGATTGCGGTGCAGCTCAAACCTACCAGAAAGAAGGTATCCAATGGCAGAGACTTTTAAGTAAATTAGATTTACTTACAGAGAGAATTTTAGTACCATCTTTTACACAATTGTTGAGAAACTAGAAATCCAGATGAGAGGAAGAGGACAGGAGAGGTGTACACAAAAATAACACACAGATTTTCTTCATTAAGTGATGTTCTTCCATCTTCTACTCTGCCCGAAACGCTTTGCGTAATAGTGGCTTTAGGCATTGTATGTACTAGCTCTATCTATAAATACATCAACTTTTTATATCTCACCTTGTATGTATGTACTTTACCTGAATAAATATTTTGTATATTTTTTTATGTACCAAATGTGATGTACTGTAATTTCATCTACCAAAAAAAAATTGTTTTAATAATTGTTTTTTAAAAAATTGTTTAAATAAAAAATTTTTTTATTTAACTATTTTGTATTTAACTATTTTGTATTTAGCTATTTTTTATTTAGCTATTTTTTATTTAGCTATTTTTTATTTAACTATTTTGTATTTAGCTATTTTTTATTTAGCTATTTTTTATTTAACTATTTGTATTTAGCTATTTTTTATTTAGCTATTTTTTATTTAACTATTTTGTATTTAGCTATTTTTTATTTAGCTATTTTGTATTTAGCTATTTTTTTATTTAGCTATTTTTTATTTAGATATTTTTTATTTCTATTCTCAGTGTTCTCAAAAGCTATTGATGCTTTTCCAGAGGACTTGGAGACCAATCTCTATGCTGAGCTTCAACAGTTTCACTCACAAGTGTTGCACTCACCCATAAGGTGAGTGTTGCACTCACCCATAAGGTGAGTGTTGCACTCACCCACAAGGTGAGTGTTGCACTCACCCATAAGGTGAGTGTTGCACTCACCCATAAGGTGAGTGTTGCACTCACCCATAAGGTGAGTGTTGCACTCACCCATAAGGTGAGTGTTGCACTCACCCATAAGGTGAGTGTTGCACTCACCCATAAGGTGAGTGTTGCACTCACCCATAAGGTGAGTGTTGCACTCACCCAAAAGGTGAGTGCAACACTCACCCATAAGGTGAGTGTTGCACTCACCCATAGGTGAGTGTTGCACTCACCCATAAGGTGAGTGTTGCACTCACCCATAAGGTGAGTGTTGCACTCACCCATAAGGTGAGTGCAGCACTCACCCATAAAGTGAGTGTTGCACTCACCCATAAGGTGAGTGTTGCACTCACCCATAAGGTGAGTGTTGCACTCACCCATAAGGTGAGTGTTGCACTCACCCAAAAGGTGAGTGCAACAAAAACATAAAATCAGATTCCAGTCACGTTAAGCTTTATATAATAACTTCAGAGAACCTCGCGAGTGGGTTTCAAAATGTATACGTTGCCTTGCGTATATTTTTTTTATTATTAATGGTCACATATTGCACAGCTGAGTGTTCATTTTCTCATAAGTTTAAGCATATACAACATCCCCCACAGAACAACTAAGCGCCAAGATGGGCAGATGCCTCGTGTCTGCCACACGAGGATAGAATCAGATAGAATCAGATAGATATCTGATATCGCAGGAGGAAACGTTTTGAACATGAAATAAATTTATAAGAAGTTAACAATAAGTTATAAGTTAACAATAAGCACCATTTTGCATCCTTTGATCCATTTATGTTGAAATGCTAAATATCTTCAATGTTTGAAAGCAGTAGAATTAAATATGTTTTGCTTCCTACAAATTTTTAATTTCTCTATAAAATCTATACATAAAAACAATTTGTCCAACAAAATCTATTTTTGAAAAAAGGATTTCCAAAATCCTTATCCTCTCGAGATCACAAAATTTCAGTATAAATATGAGAACTTTTTTGTCTTGTAATTTTTCGGTGATTAAAAGTAATGATCATAACATTTTTGCTTTTGCATTTTCCCTTATAACAGTTTATTTAAAAAAAACGCATAAAACATTGATAAAAATGTATATATATTTGTTTCTGTTGCCACAGTTATAAGTAAATTGACTGTAACGTAATGCTTAATTTAGTGTTAGAACATTGAGTTTTTAATGTTTTTCTTGCACATTCAGTAGTTACTGCCTTCGTGTTCCTTCACAAGTTACTGTCTTAATGTGTTGCTAGCTAAGTCATAAGAAGGTCAAAGGAGCAAGCACAACTATTTGGCTGTGCTTAAGCATCGGCTGGCTTTAATCCTACCCTGGTCTAGCTCCTAGCTTATTTTAGCTCCTAGCTTATCCTAGTGTTTCAACTATAGCTCCTAGCTTATCTTAATATGACTATAGTGCCTATTATTATTCAAGCATTTCTATAATAGCTGATTTGATGCTGTTCATCTATTCAATATATCCTTGAATTCTGCCTAAAGTGCTTATAAGAAATTAGTCGGTATACCTTTCTCAAGTAATCCATATATAACACGTGAATGCAGATATGATTATTCATCTAAAATAGTGACATTCCATTTATTCTATAACGACGACAATGTGGTGGTGGTGACGAGAGCGGCCCGACGGAACGTGTTGTGGAGGTGGTGGCAGAGGTACGATGATGACCGCCGCCAGTGACACGTTGCCACCACCTCTTTTACGAGGTCGTTGGCTCTTAACAATCTAGGGCGCTGTGTTGTTTGATGCGGTATGCAACGATGCATATTAATTTAGACTGCTGGGTGGTATATGTATATATGTTGTTACGGTGTTTCAAGCAGGTAGGGATGAGTGGAGATGGCGCAGCGTGAGGGTATCTGTCAATAAGAGTTTCTGTTGATTCCGGGTGCCTGGCTTGTGAGTCGAGGACGCAGACTACTATGCTACAGGGACCCATAGTTGTGGTGGTGATGTGTGACATAAAGAGCAGCCTCCCGGTAGCCTCTGGCACCGAGTCACAAGTCAACCCAGCCTAACGCAGCCTAAGCTATGATAATAACGATATATATGGTTTTAAGAGTGAAGTACCTCAAGGATTGGTGCTGGGACCAATTCTATTTCTAATATACGTTATTAACAATCGGAAAGAACTTTGTCGAACCGTCTTGTGTACTATTTGGCCGTACACCAAACGTAAACCTCTCAACGTAAAGATTTATGTTAGTTGTACAGAATATTGTGGTTTAAACTAGTCAAAATTTCCCTTATTATATTTGTTATGAGGTTGCGCTTCGCCTCTTGAGTTCCTCTCAGCCCTCAACAGACTCCTGTAGAGGCTTCCGAGCCTATTGTGCTCTGTAAATATGACCAGACCAGATACCAGTACCGTCACTCATCTCCATAACATGCATTCGTTAGACGTGTATGTGTTGACCTGTCTGCGAGTTAGGGGTACTATAAGGGATTCGAATCCATGGTTCTGCATCATCCTGCTGTCTAGGATTGCAACATCTCTGCCACAGACGCCAGGCCAACTTGAAGGCATTGTTGCCTTCGTCTCGTGACTATTCGGTGACTCAATAAAACCTGATCTCCTAGAGCCTAGCAAGGGCTGAGTGCCAGAGCACCAGGACCGGTTCAAGGCACTCCCCGACCTCATTTATTCCTCAACCTTTGTCCAGATTGATATTTTCAATATTTTCTTTTGCTAGATGTTGTAATTAAACAAATATTGTTAAAAGGTCATTTAGTTGGTATCATTTGAAAGACCAAAGAAAATTGTAAATAGTTATCTATGAGAGAGAATGTCTGTCTGTATGTTTTTCTCTGTCCATAGTTGGAGGGTAGAGGCTCGGGGCTAGCCTCACCTAGATTTGCAGGGGAAATGGTCTCCGGTGTGGAACGGACATAGACTAGTCACGATAGGCCTACGTTAAATATTTTAAGACATATTAGCATCTACAAATACCCCAGGTGATTTTCATGGAGTCAAGTGTGAAATATTTGGTGTGATGTCCCTAGAGTTTTTAGTGGTCGTAATAATATATTATCTGAGAGACCCATACAGTTGTTCCAGTGCTTCTTATCAATACATTTTCAGAGAGAATGGAGAAAGAGGGAAGAACGAGGGAAGGGGTGAAGGGGGGGACCAAGAGGGATGGGGACAGGGAGGGGTAGGGGGTGAGGATGCTGGTTGGGGACGAACGAGTCAAGGGGAAGATGGGGATGAAGAGGGGAAAAGGAAAATGAGTGGGAGAAGGGGGAGAGGGCAGCGGGGAAGGAAAAGGGGAAGAAGTGGGGGTGAGGGAGCGACCGATTATCCCGGAAAATAAAATGTCTATTTGTCTGTCTGTTTCTCCAAGCCAGACACTCATGGCTAGCCTCAGCCAACTTCTAAAAGATAACTCATGTTGGGTTGAGGAGAGTCATAGGCCAGTCGGGGTCTGCCCAAGTGTAATACTTTAAGAAATATCGACATTGATAGAGCTAAAACGCCCCTGTTATACGTGACCATTGGCAGGCGTAGATGGGTGAGGGGCCCTCGATCTGTGCCCACTGGGAGGCGTAGATGGGTGAGGGCCCTCCATATGTGCCCACTGGGAGGCGTACATGGGGGTGAGGGGCCCTCGATCTGTGCCCACTGGGAGGCGTAGATGGGTGAGGGGCCCTCGATCTGTGCCCACTGGGAGGCGTAGATGGGTGAGGGCCCTCCATATGTGCCCACTGGGAGGCGTACATGGGGGTGAGATGTGTTTAGCGATGGCAGATCTTGGCGGGATGCTGGTGGGAGGGTTCGATGCCCGGTGGGTAGGGGGGAACGGGCAGGTGGTGGTGGTGGCCGGTGGGAAGTGTGGGACTCTCATAACACGAACTTGTAGACCTTGACGCGGGGGGCGGCTGGCCTTCCAGCAGCACCAGGGGGCACATACAGGGTAACACAGCAC